TATTCAGGTAGATAACTTATTGAGTGGCCCTCGTACCTCCTCGTGGTGACGGCGGGCAACGGGCTACTCCCGGCTAAGGCTCCAAACAGAATAATATGCTGTCATGGTAGATGATGAACACAGATAGGTCTCGGGCGATATCCTCTCAAATAAAGCCTGCGCTGGTAGTATGTTGAGGCCTGCCAGCAAATAGAATGCAGCAGTCTCTTCCCCAGTCTGCGACTGCCATCGGGGCTCAGGCTGGTGATCAGCTGGCTACAGATGTACTACAAAGAGAATTGTCCTCTGCTGGTCATGGGAAGTTTCTAGGGAAAGAGCATTCGGCATTCTCTGGCTGGTCCAGAGAATGCCGAAAGACTCCGTTTTATCCAATTGAATCGCTTATAGCGGCATGAAAGTTATGAGCGTGAATCTTTTCCGAACAATGAGGCTGTTACGGAATCAGATTTAATTTGCCATGCCTTCCGGTAGGCATGTAGTAGAGATTACACATCGTCCGATGGAACTATACAACTTAGCATCAGACGGAGCGCAGCTACTCACTTGTTTGGCCATGTGTCGCCACATGTACTTATGGTGTAGGCGGCTCTGACGTGATCGTGAATTGCTATTAATCGCTAACAGAACGCCAGCGTGTTCGAAGGTATAAAATATTGACTCAGTAGACGCATCTACTCAGTAGATAATATATAATTAATTTATTATGACAAGCCGCATTGAGAGAGATCCACTAAGTTAAAGATCTGGAAGGATGGTGGGGAAATATTGGCTATACATAGAGGCTGATTGGTCCGCTTCCTATATATCTAATATATATAGACGATCGTGACTGACTGACTGACGATAATTCTAACCATGTTCCAGAAAGGTTAGAAATGTGAAACTTGGTAGACATGTACCTTTCGGGGGGCAAAGTTCAGAAAAAATCCGACTTTGGAGGTATATGCCCTGGGGGTACATATTTTAGGGGGAGAAGTTAAAAAATATATATATATCATGATGGATAAGGATGTCATCGAGAGATGTTACTGTATGTCCCCGTTTCGGTGTTGTAGTGGTAGCGCATCTGGCCGGTAATCATGAGGTCCAGGTTCAATTCCCGGCCAGACGATACCATTTTTTTGGCTTGCCTTCCATGTTCCGCTGCTTGAATAAAAGGGAGAGACATAGAAACCTGAAACGTGGCATGGACGTGCCTACCGACACGATGAGTTCAGGAAAAGATGCATAATTTTAGATCTATGCCCTGGGGGCATATTTTTTGGGACCGACGTTTTCAATTTTTTTTTTTGTCCTGGTGTATTGAGCTCGTGTGGAAAGATGAAATTTGGTATATAATTACCAACGGGGATACTGCGTGAAGAAAAATTCATACTTTGGAATGAAATGCCCTGGGGGGCATGAATTTCAAAGGGAGATTTTTTCACATATTTTTTAGCATTAGTCAAACCGATAGACATGGAAAGCTGGAACTTTGCATGAATGCGACTACCAAGATAAGGAGTTAAAGAAAAATGTTAAGTCTTGATACATCCCCGGGGGAAAATTTCTCGAGGGGTGATGTTTAAAAAAAAAAGAAATTGTCGTGTCGAATTGGACAGAAATGGAAAGGTGAAACTTGGCACACGTATAAGTGATGTGATACTATTGAGTAGAGGGCGTATTCAGCTTTCATGGTGCAGCCACTGTGGGAATAGCTTTTGGGTGGGTCGGCTTTTCCAAACATGATTTTTCACTAGCGAAAGGGGCAAACGTATAAGATTGAAACTTTTTGAGCATGTAGTTCACTGAGGTTTGATTTCGATAAAAATTGTACTTTTCGGTTAAAACGCCCGAGGGCACATATTTCGCAAATTTTCCTGAATTTTCTGATCCAGCAAAACGGAGGGTCCTAGAAATTTTAAACTTGGCTAAGGAGTACCTGATGAATAGCAGAGTAAAGAAACAATTCTACTTCCATATTATATATGGACGATCGCGAGTACCTGACTGACTGACATAAATAGCTATTCACATGCTGAATTCTGGAAAAATTCCACTTTGGTGATACACGCCATAGGGGCACACCTTTTCAAGGATCATATTTTCAAATAGTTCTCTTTGCTTCAATCAAACGGAGACATATGGAAAGCTGTAACATGGCAAGAACGTGACTGGTGAACCACTCAACTAAAATGTCAAATGTCAAATTTCCAAAATATTTTGGGGGGTATATTTCTTGGGGACGTAACGTTTTCAAAGAATTTTTACTATCCTAGCGAATCGGGCAGAAATAGAAAAATAGCAGCTGGCCCACGCATATTGGACGTGATGTTGATTTAAGAAAAAATTCAAGTTTTGCTGTTCGTCACCCCAGAGCACAGCTTTTGGGTGGGTTGCTTTTCCAAATGTATTTCTTACCGCCAGCAAAAAGGGGAAACGTATGAGGCTGAAACTGGGTGGCAGGGAGTTCCCTGAGTCTATATTTCAGAATAAAAAATAAAATTTCGTTAAAAAATCTCAGGACACTTTTTTAAAGTCCCATTTCTGTGAATTTTTTTCGATCCAACGAAACAGATACAGAAAATATAAACTTCCCTCAGAAGTACCTGTTTGATGGCTGAGTAGAGGAAAAATCCTACTTTTGAAATATGCACCCTTAGCGTAGATTACAGGAGGGAAGTATTTTAAAATGTATTCTCCACCCTTACAAAATGGGACACATGGAAAGATTTCAAGTTAGGCACACTAGAAATGAAAGAAGTAATGCTTTCGGTAAAAAAGAAGACTTTCGCCCTCATATGTCACGTATTTCAATGGGACGTACTTTAAATGTGTGTTTGCCATTTCGCAAAGAATAAGTGAATTAATCACTATCCAAGGTAATGGAGCGCCGAAGGCGCGACCACAGCGACCATATATATATATATATATATATATATATATATATATATATAATAAGATGGACAATCACTGATAGAAGGGCTAGCCCTTGAACAGCCATGGCTCAGCACCCACGCGAGTACCTCGACAGGAAAATCGAGACTAATGTGAAAAGCCAGGCAGAAAAGGGGTTCCGACCCCGACTTTAGTTCCGACTAAATTTAGGTTTATAGCTAGTTCTGTTGGGACATGCCTTAAAGCACTCTCACTGCGATTAAACAGCATCTTAGACAAGCTCTGTCTCAGAATTAGGAAAGGTTGTTCAAGTTGTCACTGCTGGTGGGTCATTAAAAATAACAAGAAAGTTTTGAAAGCATTTGACTATCTTAATGCAAATGGAGGAGTAAAAACTGTCATGACTTGGGATTTTTCTACACTCTACACAACCATTCCACTACAGCTTTTACATGATTGTATATGTGAAATGTTCGCAACATATGCAGATCAAGGGTTCTACGAGAAGCATACATTCTGCTCGGTTGATTACTTCTCTAAACTTCTAGAGAACTGCCTGGAGAATAATTATATCCAAATTGGAAATCAAATTTACAGGCAAACAATTGGAATCCCAATGGGCTCTAATTACTCCACTAACCT